CGGCCGGGCCCAGGGCTGCAGCGCCCGCATCGCCCGGCTCCCGGCTCGGGGAGGGAGAGCAGGCGGGGCACCTTGGGGGCGGCGGGAGCGCGGACGGCCCCTGCCGCGGGCTTCCCTCCCCGCCGCGCCGCCGTGTGCGGGGGAGCCGAGCCCGCGGCGGCCTGGCCCTGGCCCTGCCTCAGTCAGGGCGAGGTGGTGTGAGGGGACACACGGCCAAGTCAACCCCTTGCGTCTGCCGCAGCTTTTGCAGCCCCCGCGCAGTGTTTCCTTAGGGCAGAACAGCATGCGCATACCCCTGTTGTTACTCCTGTTACCGTTATTATTTTTAAGGAGTGCCCAGAGCCCGTGGACTTGAGGGGTGCCGGTGGGCGGTTGAAGCGCTGGCTGTCACTGGCAGGGTTGGGGTGCGGATAGCCGCAGGCATGCTCTGGTGCCTTCAGGCGTGTTTGCCCAATACTGGAACTCTTAAATCTCCCCATCAGGGCTTCATAATTTCGTTTTTTTCCACGAGTTTGGATGTCTGTGTGTCTGTACAGATTTATGTTTACGTGTCTGCGGCACAAAACCAAGCCAAAACGGAATAATAAACTGCCAAACTTGATAACTGAGCGTGGTGCTCCCTCTGCTGACAGCTGCCGTTTAGCTCCATTCCAGTAACAATTCACTTTCAGTTTCAGAAGTGGCTTCTGCTGCAAATAAGGTTCCCCCATTACATTAAAGCTTTACATTAACCTTTGTAGTAATTTCAGGCCACTTGTGTGGCCTGCTATAACCTCAGCTGGCATTGCAAGGGGAGACTGTTTCAGTGTATTTTCAGGAGCTACTTTTTTTCATACTTCTGAATGGAGGTAATAACAGTAATGAATAATCCACTGCTGCATGTTTTTTCTTCTATAGTCATGTTGGCCTTTGTAAAAGGGCGTGTGGGATGCTACCAAATAAAGTTTTCCACTTCTATACAGTTGAGTGTGATTCCTTAACTCGGAAATCAAGGCAGACTGTTAGTTTCTGTGCCTGCAGAACTGAGCCTTGGGTAATGATGCAACAGACAAGGCAGAGAGTTTAGGCCCAGTTCAGACAGAGACCAAGGGAAGGTTCTGCTGTCTCAGCAATGCAGGTAGTGCTGTTTGAGGTTCCTTCAGGAGCTAGAGGCATCTGGCTGATGCTGGCAAGCATGGCATAGCACATAGGGAAGGTATTCAGTTTCTTGAGCAGCAGTTGAAAGGCCAGGCAGTGTAGGGTAGGGCATCTCTGCCATTTTTTAGGCAGCTGAGTCACACCTTATCTGTCCTTTGTTCTGTTGTGTAGTTCAGATGTTATGAAGGGATGGAAAGTAGTTTTTCAAATTCATTTTCTGTGCTAGTTTGCCAAATATTGGCCCATGACTTCTTGGCTTCTGTGTGGAGAATGTGGGAGTTTGTGAGGACCTGACTAAACTCAGGGCTGCTTTCCCCTGAGACCAGATGGAGTCTTCCAGTGTGCAGAGGTGTAGATGTTAAAGGAGAGGCCTGAGCCTTTCAGTTCAATATCCTGTTCTTCAGGCTGGATCTGTTCTGCAGAGGCTGCATGACAGTGCTCTGACTGGTATGTATGGGTGATGTACATAGCGTCCATGCTTTTCGATCTGAACCAGATTTGCATGGTTCCAAAGAGTAAACCCATCGCATATTTTTACTCTCTTTCTGTAAACCCACCTCACCAAATCAAAGAGGAGTCTCTCCTGTACTTTCTTGTGAAGTAATTTGAGACTGCTTGACCGCCTCCCCAGAATATAAGAACCTGCACATGAGTGGTCTGTAAAGCTATTTGCCTCTTCACCTGCATATGGCAAAGTTGGACCAGATTTGTTAGTTGCACAGTTTGGTCATGGTGAGCTTGCTGAATGAGCCTGCAAATGAGATTAATCCTGGTAAGGGTAGCCTATTAGATGCACTTAAGGGAATGTACTTGATGTAAACTTTTCATGCCTGTCTTCGTGAGACATTTTTATTTTTCCCTCTTGGGTACCTTTGCTTCCATTTATCTTTTGTTAGGGTTTTGTGTGTGTGTGTGTGTGTCTCACTGTGCTTTTTTTGTCTAAGCCAGTTTGAGATTTCTTGATCATTATTTAACTAATGAAGGTTAAGAAGATTGTTCCTCTCTGTGTCTTTAACCCTTTTGGGGGATTAAGTGAAGAATCCTCAATAAGAAAACTCTTTTGAATTTTTGTCTTTAGAAGCAAGTGTGGTTTTGTCAAAGAATGAACTGTGGCCTCTGTGCAGGTCTGCCATCAAGAAGGGAAAATGATTATTTAAGAAAGTACCAAGAGATTCAGGAATGGAAGGGAGAAAATTGGAGTATAAAATATGCAAAAAGCCCTTAGTGTGCCCTGTTGCTTTGAAGGGAAATGGGAGACAGTTGCTAACAAATCTGTAATAAAAATAATTTTACAGAAATGAAGATTGGCTCTATAACCCATTGATCTTTTCAGCCTCTACACTTTGTTTCTGAAGTCACATGAAATAATTATTTCAGTAGTCTCCTCCTTTTTCTGAAACTGTGCCCTGTTAGAGTTTTGTCACTTGTGAGATTTCCTTCTCATACATTTTGCCTCCACTGCATGTTAACATGGTTATGCTTGAATTAGCTCTAAGAGACCCTAGGGACTGGCAAGAGTCTAATGGTGGTAGGATGGATCTTGGTGCTGAGTAATTTATTAGTTTTTTTTGTCAGGCTCAGATGTGAATGTGATCTTTATGTGGTCAGGATATGTGTAAAAACTTGAATAATGCTGTTCGGCCAGGAGGTCAGGGTTCCAATTGTTATGGCTGTGCATGCGTGTCGTGGTTTAACCCCAGCCAGCAACTAAGCACCACATAACTGCTCACTGTGCCATCTCAAATTTCATAGCAGGCACCTGAAACCGTTTCAGGATAGAATCATTGGAGCCTACCTACCACGCCAGTAACTTGCTAGATTTGCTTGAAATTGTTATTGTTAATTCATTTTCTTTGACAAGTGTTTTAATTCAAGACTGCTGTAAAATCAGATTTGAGAGTGGAAGAGCAAGAGTAGGAGGAAGAACCAACAAATGGTAAGGAGTGAGAAAAGACAGTCTTCTTTGGCAGCATTTATTCTGCTCCTTTTTGGAGGATTAGAATCTGTTATTTCCATGGGGTGCTTTTGTCATTCTGATTCCCTTTTAAGATTTTTCTCTTTTGGTGCAATTAATAGTTGTGCATGTTGATGATAGTAATGCTGCAGCAGCCTCAGGGAATACATACTTACAGTTCCTATGCAATATTATTTCTCTCTTTAATATTTTCATAACAGCTTTACTAGTATATTTGCATTTGTTTAAAAGAAAATATTTGCTAAGTCATTCAATACAAAGTTGCATCAAATACTAATAAGAAATGGGGTTTTTTTACCTTTACAATTTTTCTGTGGTATATCGTCATATTATCACGACTGTGTCTGCAGTTTAGGTATTGGGAGACAGCTACACAGTCTTGCAAGCTAGAAGGTATGCAAGTGGATGACTGACTGTTGGAGCAGCTGGCACATTTAAATAAGTAAATATAGTGGTGATTGGTTTTCCTTTTTTTTTTTTTTCCTTTTCTTAAAAGAACAGAAACAAAAACATTTTTTGAGGTGAAGATAAGATGAGGTGGAAGGATTGTTATCAGATCAATGACAATAGAAGAATGGAAAAGGACAGACAACTGCGGTTGGGTTGTCCAGCTGTACTGTTAGGAAGATTTGGGGGAAAGAAGAGAAGAAACTCCTGAAATATGGCTAAGGGATTATGCTATAGGGAGAGAAAAAGAGGAAAGCAAAGTCTAGTCACATCAATGTCTGGGAGCTTTGTTATAGTCTTATTTGAGGTCTGGACTCTTCCTTTGGGTTTAAAGGAAGTGGGAAGGGAGAAGGGAAAAGAAAAGTAGGCTTAGAGGGATGTAGGAAAGTACTGTATGATCTCAGTGTAGTGGTAGTCTGGAAGTGGCAAAAGATGCAACAAAACTTGGAGGAGGCCAGTGACTGTGACTCTGAAGTAACTCACTGGTAGGTAAATGCTGTGTTGCCACTAAATTAAGTAGTTAATATATGTACAAGGTTTTCTGTTCCTTCCCATGACAGGAATGTGATTTGCGTGAAGTTTAGCCTTGGGAGATGTGCTAAATGAAGTGTGGAGCATCCTGGTCGCTAGTTCTTGGACATCTAAGTATTGAACACATTTTCCTACTCTCAAAAAAGCAATTTTTGTCAAATGTCATATTCACTTGAAAGTGGCAGTTAGGAAAAAGGAACCAGATGGGAACAGTTCATCTCTAACTCAAGCATTTGGTGAGGCATGAATAACTTTGAAGCTTAAGATGATACAAATCTCATGGCAGTTCCACATATATTTTTTCTCTTGTTCTGTTCTGGAGAGACTGTAGAGAGAAGGAATAACTGAAATTACTATGTGAAAACAGGAGGAGCAGGCAGGTTAAAAACTGCAAATGGATGCAGTGATATTGTGAATAAAGGAGTGAAGAGGAAGAGAAAAACTGGAAAATGAAATCTAGCATCATGGCAATCTTTATAAAGCTTTATTTTTGCAAGGGATCCACTTAATAAAAGAGAGTTTAATAACAGAACTTCAGGGATGGGGAAAACTGTGCCATTGACTGAGGAAGAACATACTTTGCAGACTCAATTTCGTCAGCCCTAAATAATTAATAAAATCTGGAATTATCTAAAGTCCTATTACTATCCTAGAGATGACATATGAGATGGGGAGGCTATCTCTCTAGAGCAGACTGAAGTATTTAATTTTTCAAGCAGGACACTTACTATGTATTGTTACTTCTGCTTCCCAGATCACCAGCATGGAAGTTAAAACCAGCAAAGGTCATTTGAAAGTCCATAAAATGAAGAAGAAGGTATTGAGGAAGCAAGTCAGAGCTCAGCATACATTGATGAGACATGAGGGCATTGAATGTATCTCCCATGCCACACAGGTGAGTGGTAGTTCTGATTTTGATGGTAGTGTGAAAATGCTTCTTATCTGTGTTCTATTATTCTCACATATGCTTTGTCTAAACTGCAGTTCATGAGATTGAGGGTTTTCTGTGCCTCTTTGATTTCAAAGCCGAACTGTACTTAAGCAGTTTAATATCTGTGGAGAGACTTTGATAGCCTTTGGATAAGGTGTTTAGTTTTTGTGGGGTTTATGTTGTTTTTTTAAAATCTGAAACAGTAGTTCCTTGGGTTGGGGAGGAGGAGGAAGCATGGGAAATGTTACCTTGTTAGAAGTAGATAAACTTTTCTTCTCTGCCTCTTCGTGATTTCTTTTCTTCTATGGCTTTCAGCTTTTGTATCTTTCTTTCCTCTGTACTTCTCTGTCAAGTGTAATTTGACTTGTCTAAACTCCCTGTTAAAAACATGTCTATCTTAAAAATCTTTTCCACATTGTTTTCTTCACCTAATTTGATTTAGGCTGTGGTTCTGTGGGAGTTGAACTGATTGACTGACTTGCAGCTCTTGAAAAGGGGACAACTTTCTCTTCCCTTGCACAAAATGGGGCAAGATAGGAGGGAATTCTGCTTTCTTACGATGCTCAATGAACTTTACGATAAGCCGCTTTATTCCCTAACCTAACAGAAAACTACTTGGCTTTTTGATTTGTACTTTTCTGCCACAGTAGAGAGTTACAGCAGATCAGAGGGTGACCTAGCAGATACTGGGGTAGCAAAAAGTGACAGGAACTTGTAGACAGAAAAGGAAGAAGTTAGAGTTTATAATTTCCCTCCGTCAATTGTAGGGAGAAGCTAATGGCTTGAAGCACTGTAGAGCAGTGTCATTTACTCTAGCCTTGTTCATCTTGATCCTGCAAGTTCTTCCTGTTCAACTATGGAAACATCAGTTAGATCTTTATACTTTTTTGTAACAAAATTGGGCTTAGTCTTCACTCAGATTTCACACCATGTGGACATACGCTAAAATGACCCAGCAATCTTGTATATATTGTAAGCTCTTTGGAGCAGGGACTGTGTTTTTCTAGTGTAGCTTGGAAATGGGTCTGTAATCCAGGACTTGTTCCCCTCGACACCGTCCCACATACCGAATTATCCATCTAATCTGGGTCCAGCAAGATCCTTGTGAATGACAGAACATTTGAGTAAGTGATGTATGAAACAAAATCATAGTGCTAGTGATGAACTTGTGTCAAAAATACAGAAAATGCTTTCAGGCTTTGTGCAAGAGTCTAATTATATTGAAATTGTTCAGTCAGGAGAACAGGATCAGTTGCTGTACATGCTGCTGTTGTGTAGTGGTGGTCTTTGTAGATGAAGTGCCTTCATGGAGCCAGTGAAATAACTGGTTTAAGTCTCTGCATTTCCTTTACACACATGGGCTTCTCCATTAATAACATTCTAGAAAATAATAAGAATTATTAATGTGGTCACCTTTGAAAAATGTCATCATGGACAGCCTGATGCAGTGCTAAGAAAAAGTGTTAGTAGAGCCATTGCAATAGGTATAATCACAGCAGTACTCACTATATAAATTATTTTTTAAATAATCCTTTTCTTCCATTTTAAACCTAATTTTCTGTCTTTTAGAGGAGTGAAAAGCTATCATTTGAAACAATTGAACGCTTTACCAGCTGCCTTCAGAAAAGGTCATAGAACATTTATAGACTTTAAGGAAAAGATTGAAAGCTTTCTGGAAAGGTATTACATGAAGTCAATCTGAGTAAATTGTTGCTAGCTGTTTGGAGTCACTTAAGCTCAAACAAAACTTTAAGACTGCATCTTCATTTGGTCTTAAAAAGGGACTTAAACTTCTTTCAACCACCGTGATTAGATTGAACATCTAGTTATGGCATATAGCTATTTAGGTGTCAAAATAACTTGTTAATTTATTTTGAAAAGGCCTATGTATTTTCAAAGTCTATTTCTTGAATAATAGTCCTTTGAAAGGTTCTGTTTTGTTGTTTTTTCTAATACTTGACAAACCAGCAACAGTCCTCAGAAACTGCATACTCCTTGATAATTTTGGACATAAATCACTGTGAAAGCGTAGAATGAAGCATTGTGCATGAAGTAATCTGTGTTAACTAAGGATGGGACATAAATCCCTTTTGTTTATAAAAACAAGAGGGAGAATTTTCAGGTAAGAGTGTTGGAGCAGAACTAGATGCTCTGTTTCTAGAGGCTGCTGCTTTTATTTGGTGATCTTGATGTATGGGGGACATGACGTAGGACTGGGCATATCAATCTCTATGCTTGGAGAGACTCCTTGGCAAAGATGAGAAAACCTTTCTTAAAAAAAAAAAAATCAGTCTTCAAAGGTTTTTCTGTTTGTTTTTGTTAGTGGTAATGGGTTTCTGGAAAAATTCCATTTTGGAAACCTCCAAAATTATGATTGCCAAGTGTCACTGTTTGCCTGCAGTACACTTGATGCACACATGCTGGTTCAAAGCTTAAATGCTCTTGTAATAGTAAATACATACATTAATTGAGGAGGTATCTCTGATAGAGTTTGCAAGCCTTTCTGCCAGAATATGTGCTGGGCGAATAAAGGTTGTCTTAGCCTCATATACCAAGCTCACTGAAATGTAAATATCTTGGGTGGAATACATAAAAGAGTACTTATGGGCTTAATTTTTCTTTATAGAGCTGCTCTCTTGGTAGAGGGTTAGTTTTAAATGAACCAACAGTAATCACTAATTCTCCATTTTATTTTTTTTAATTCTTCTTCAATCAGAGCCTGGTTATTGCCAATGCTGGTCTTGGTAATGGGATGAGTAGACAGCAGCTGCTCAGAATAGTAGAGGAATATGGATTGGTGGAAACACTCTTAATGCCACCGAATAAACCATATTCATTTGTGAAATATGGGACAACAGAAGAAGCCAAGAAAGCCTTTGATGCCCTTAATGGAAAAGAAGTAACACTGGAAGACTTTGGCCAAAACATTGTTCTATATATTAATTTTGTGGAAAAAGGTATAATTTTTCTGCTCTCCTATATCTGACTTCCTGCAAACTGCTTCCCTTTGCTTTCACTTCCTAGGTTGTAAATACAGCTAAAAGCACACTAGTCTTTGTGAGTAGACACAGAAAATGAAAGCCAGAATCTAAGATTCAGGGTGTAAAATGATCTTTGCTCCGTGTATTTCATGATAGGATACTCTAATTTGAACTCGTTTACTTGGATGCAAAAGGAAAAAGGATTTAGGTAGTTTTCAGACCATTCAGTACTGCACATGAAGGTTTTGTGATTAAGGAACTAAATTGGGACCCAGGACATCTCTGGACAGTTCACTGGATTTCTTGTGTGACCTTAGTCTTGCAAATCTCTATCTCAACTCCAAGAAGGAAAATAGGCACAATAAGATTTCTGGCTTTTTTTTTCCTCTTCTCTCCAGGCTTTTTTTGTGGCTGACTTTAAGCTATTTAGTACAAGAACTGTTGCTCTTTCTGTGAGCTTTTATGGTGTCTAGTGAAAAGGGTTCCTGATGTTGGTCTGTACATTCTGCCAGCGAATAGCTTTTTTTTAAGCTGTTAGGATAGCAAACAATGTCCCTATGTCACCAACATTTTGTGTTCACCTAGGTATTGCATTATACATCTCCATATTTGATTACAGATTGCTTCTCTGGACAGAGTAAATTTGGTAAATCATCAAAGTTCTAGAAAATTAAAATGAAATGCAGGTAGAATCCTGAAGTGATCAGGAAATTCTTTTTACCATTATTTTGACAGGAGAATCACAAGTGGTTTTGCATTTGAACAGTGTGGGGTCTTGTTGCTCTTAGGCAGTAAAATTTTTAGAAAGTGCTTTGCATGATGCAAAACTTGGGCCTTATTCTGTTTTGTCATACCAAAAAGGGATCATTCATTCACCAGATAAGACCCCAATGAGGGCTCCATCGTATCATTAAAGTAAATATTTCTACAGCTGTACTATATTCTCATACATAGTAAATATCCCTGTAGGGAACATATGGTTTTGTTTTCTATAAACAGTGACAATATTCTCTTTTTCTATACACCTTAGTTTTCTGGCAGAATGCTGTTCCTACAAGCTTGCCTCCAGGCCTAATGGTCATTGAAAAGGTTATTTCTCCAGAGGAGGAAAGGAGGATGTTGGAAAGTATTGACTGGATAGGAGATGAAGATACTCAAAATGGTGGGCAAAACCATAAAATGTAGACCTTCCATATTTTTATGCTGTTTTTTTCCTACAGTTTAAGTTTACAAGAAGTCTACATCTTGGTAGATGTATTGTTTGAAATTATTCTGTATTTGTTCTTAGTATTTTAGAAATTGTGTCTTATATTACAAGTGATAAGCTCCTGGGGGCAAGCGGTCTGAATTGATATTCTGGTATGGATTTACTGGAATAATATTCCTGCATCCAGAAACAACTAAACTCTTTAAGTGTCTTATGCCAAGCACAAGACTGTTCTGGGAAGGTTACCGTTGTAATTTGATGTCTGAGGAGCTGTGTCTTCTCCTAAATCAAAAAGAAGTCAGTGAGACACACATTCCAGATACTTTTGTGCTTTCACTTGAACTCCATGGAGTTAACTCTTTTAGTAAATGAATTGTTCTTGGAATTCACTTCAAAGTTTCTGTGTAAAGTTTGTTCCTTGGAACAACACAAAGGGTTATATTGACCTTAGCCAACATGTAACTTGGTGATTGGTGAAAGTGAAGGATCCTGCTATATCCATAGGATGTTAATCAAGTGCAAGTTCACAGATCAGGACAAGAATAAAGATGCATTAAACATGGCTCAAGAAAATTGGTACTCTCCGCTTCTTACATATACAAAAACACCATCAGTTTGACTCAAACACCAGTGAATATGATGCTTGATGAAATACAAAAGGTCATAAGGGAGAAGTGTGTGCCATGAAGGACAAGGGTTTTACATTGTTTTAACTGTTAATTAAAGAATGTTTCTGTTTAACAGGTCAGATGGAATAGGGGAGCATAGCAAATTGCCTATACTGTTTTATGTAGTCTAATCTTTAAACTTGTGTGTTTTTACAGCCCAGAAGACTTTAAAGCATAGAAGAGTAAAACATTTTGGATATGAGTTTTGCTATGATAACAACAATGTTAATAAAGACAAACCTTTACCTGGAGGTGAGATCTTGCCTATTAAATCATACTTATGTTGCATTGATGTTTGAACCACTGTATAAAGCCTTTAAGCCTCACTGAGATAGGGATGTGAGATCCTAATTAAAGGAGAGGTGAGATCCTAATAAAAGGAGAGCCTTCACTGTATCTTAAGCACACACTGAACAGTGCTTTTAAATGAGATCCATTCCAAATTACTGCGAGTGCTTGAAGCTTGTTTTGCAATCACTTGCAGCCAGGAATTGCTGCCCTTTGTTGAGGTCCAGTCAAATAAGGTTTTTGGGACTTTAATTGTCATTCTTTTTTAGCTTTTGTTTCATAAAACAATTATGTGTTACAAATTACATATTCTTTGTTTGGGAGTTGTGCTGTATACTGTTATGTATATTTAACTTGATTAGCTTGAGGCTTGCTGGATGCACACCAAAATAAATTTTCCTTTGGACTGAAAGCAATTTTACAAAGGCTTGAATAACTCTTATTTGGAGTTGAGAGCTGTGAGTCAGAGCAAAGCGAGTGAGTCATCTTATAGTCTTAGATTTAAAAATGGTAAAATAGGGAGTTAACACCCAAGTTTTATAGGAATTTTAAGGTGATGCATGTGTACTGGGGTGGATGTAGCTTCCAACAGAAGGATTCTGGTTACATTGTGATTTTAACAGTGAAGCTATATAATCATAAAAGCATTGATATTTGGGCTGCTCTCTAGTCTCACAGCTAGACTATTTTGTGTGAGAGAAGCATAAACACTTCATTAGAGGAGAACAATTAAAAAATAAAAATCAATAGATTCATGGAAGGGCTGTTACTGACATGTTTGTGAGTGTTACCTCCAACAGAATTTTACAGTAAAGTCCTCAGGTAAAATAGCAAACCAAAGATTCAGTGGAAGCCTGTAACTTTCATTCCTGTTTCAAGACCAGTTTAACTTCAGCATGTTTTTTTGGTGATATTTAATCCAATTCAGTAACAGATTTTTAGGGGGTAAATTTTTTAGAGAGCTCTCTGCACAACTTCTGACTTTATGTATAATAATTTTGCTTCTTGACTGCAACTCTTTTACTGTAGTTGGTGGAAACTTTGCCTCTGATTTGATATGCTTTTATTTATGTGTAGAGATAGGGCACTTTGCATTTGTAAGGAGTGATCTGCTTCTGAATGCAGAGGCTTTGGAGGAATGGCCTTTCTAATGTTGAGGTGTTAAAAATACATCGACCTTGCAGATCAGGCCTCCAATTCTGATGTGTGTGTTACAGCAAATGCAGAGTGATCATTATTAAAGATGGACTTGCATATCTATGAAGCTGTTTCTATGTATTTTGTCCAGTTATTATGTTTATTGTAAAAAGAAAGGATAAAAATGTAAAAAGCTATCCTGTCTTGCTTACAGTTTTGTTTTGTATAACTAGGTCTTCCTGAAATTTGTGACCTGTTCTTGGAGAAGTGCTTGAAGCAGGGTTATATCAAACATAAACCTGATCAACTGACTGTAAATCAGTATGAACCTGGACAAGGTAAGTTTATTTGTCCTTCAAAAATTTTGAGCTCTTTACCTTACATTGTGGTTTAACCCTGGTAGGCAACTAAGCACCATACTTGCTCACTCCCCCCCCCATTGGGATAGGGGAGAGAACTGGAAAGATAAAAGTGAGAAAACTCATGGGCTGACATGAAGACAGTTTAATAAGTTTAAAAAAACCCCCAAAACCAAAAAAAACCCCCCCAAAACCCCAAAACAAAACAAAGAAAAAACAAGTGATGTAAAAAAAAACCCCAAACAGTTGATCACTACCAGCCAACCAATGCCCAACCAGTCCCTGAATAATGGCATTCCTGGTAAACTTCACCCCTAGTTTTATTACTGAGCATGATGTCATATGGTATGGAATATCCCTTTGGTTGATGTCCCAGCTGTGTCTCCTCCCAACTTTTCTTGTGCCTCCCTGGCTGACTTGCTGGCAGGGAAGCGTGAGAACTGGAAATTACCTTGATGCTGTGTAACTAAAACATGCCTGTATTATCAACACTGTTTTGATCACAAATCCAAAACATAGCCCATACTAGTTACTGTGAAGAAAATTAACTCTATCCCAGCCAAACCAGTACAACTTAACTGAAAATCAGAAGAGAGTAGCATCTAAATGTGACATGGTGTAGGGACAGGATTTAAGCACCTGCTTAAGTGTATTTCCTCTATGACCAGAAAGTCTTCATACTTATTTCTGAACCTGGGAGCTTGTGTTTAGAAGTACAGTTTTTGATACCACTGTTATGGAAATTGATGGTGTTTCAGAGTCCAAGGCTGTAGCATGGAAACTAACTGTAAAAAGACACAGGAATAAATAGTCATACTTGATTTTGTAGTCAAGTGCATTTTTTCACTTCAAACTCTTCTTGCTCCCTGTAATGTGCATACAGTCTCCAGGAAACCTCTTGCTGTTAGTACATGTAATGTAATGTTAGTATATGTGATATATGGACTCTTAAGTATGATCCAGGCAGTGTTCCCTTATCTGAGGAATAAGAAACTCCTCTGCTTCTGTAATCTTTCCCAAACTGGAGACATCTGAAGAGAAATTTGCTTCTAATCACAACTCTAGGGAATAAATCAAGTGCTGTGCTTTTTGCTAAGGTCAATCATCAAGGCTAAATATCTGGCTTGTTTTCTAGAGTGGATATCTCATTTGTCCATAGGAAGAAAGGACAACAGCCTTTTTTTTTTTTTTTTCCCTACTTTTTTCCCCAGAATTAATGTCTGACAGCTAATGCAGTATCTGCCAAACAAGGGTCTGAAAAGCTGATCCTATTTGTTTCTGTATCTGACAATCTGTTAAACTGATACAGTAATGTACTTCTGGCTGGGACATCAGAGGAGATTAGTTAGAATTGTAAATTTCTATCAAGAATAGAAGCAGAGTTTTTTTAAAAAAAACAAACCCAGAGAAAAATACCTTTTCTTAAGTGCAAATTGTTAGGATATGAATGAGCACAGAGTGCCATCAGATTAATACCTTTAGTATCTGTGTTCCGAGCCAGATTGTCGCTGGATGTTACACTTGAGATTTTAAGAAGTGACTGGTGACTTTGGGTATCTAAGCTGTAGGGGCCACACTTAAGACACATTAAATGAATTCCTTTTTGAGGGCACTTTTTTCATTCAGGGTCCTAATAATGCGTAAAGTTGTAGATTTATACCTGAAAGTTACCATCCACTTTTGAATGCTTAGGTGACTGTCTGTTACTATGTGCTGCATATATGGTATATAAACAGCAGGTAGGTAGGTTGGTGTGGTCTTGATTGAATTGTCTGGGTGATGCTGAAGAGATCAGTCAACGTTCTCCTGTTGCGCAGTGAATTATACTGACTTCAGTGTGCATCTGAAGGCAGAGTTGCAGTGCTTTATACTGAGGCAAATTTATGATAAGCAAACACAAACAGATGTGTGTCCTTGGTTTTCAATTTGTAAAAGGGAACTAGGCCTTAAGCCTCATTGTTTCTAAGACTAGTCATATCAGACATATAACTAATGATTAGAGATTTAGATGTGATTAATAGAATGCAGGTACTTATAAAACAATATGCATAAGTTGCTTATTTGTCCCTTGTGTAGCCCTCACCATGGCTGGCTTAAAACCCAGTCAAGCTGAATCAACAGAAAAAGGATCATACATCTTAGACCTAAGACATAAGAATAGGTAAGAGTAAGTGATTAACTTTAGAGTAAGATGAATTAATAAAACAACCTGAGAGATTCTCAGAAATTCAAAGGTGATCTTTGATGTGTAAGAAGATAAGTGGCTGTGGTGACCGGAGACTTCTGCCTATGACCACTAACTTCAGAAGAACCAGGACAAGACAATAAGAATCAGTGGAGACAGGAAAATGTATTGGACTTTTGAAACCACTGGAGAATAGAGAAGTGAGAGTTCATGGAAGAACACCTAGAACTTCTTTTGACAAATCATCAATTGCATATTGTTTGCTAAAATCATATAGGTGTTTTTGAGTTACCTTTTGCCATTCACTGCGGTGGTGGCCCAACTCTGAGTTGTTAACAAAGCAAACCTAGAGAAACCCATGACTGAAAATTCTTTAACACAAGTCTTGCTGATTTTTCTATCAGATTAAATGTTGACCTCATAAAACATTTGTATTGCTTTCACTGAACCTAATGGAATTCAGAATATTACATCTGGAGGTAGAATCTGGCATATAATAAGGATACTTTATAGGGCTGACTGACAGTGTTAGGAAAAAATGTTTTCAGCTCAGGAATTTGATAGTGTCCAAAATTAACGTAGGTAGAGTTTTTAATAAGCAAATATAACTGTTTTGGTTTGGGTCACATAAGAGTTACTCTATCTGTCTGTGCCTGCTATGGTGTCAAAGGAATGCATAGTTGCAGTTCTCCCAAGCTATCTGCTGACCTTGCTCTGCTGCTGACTACAGTTCCCCACCATGTGGTGAGATCTTTCTGTGGCATGCAAACTGCTGTTTCAGTGCTTGGTGTTAAAATGTGTGGCATGAGCTGCAGGAAATGGCAGTTTCTTTCCAATTAGCAGATCTGAAATAAAATAAAAAATTAAAAATTGCTGTCCCTTTGGCAATTCTCAACTGTGTGTGTCTACTCATACACATGCCAACAGATGTACTACCCAAGGGGTGGCCTAGCAATGGTGTGTGGAGTTCTCCTGGGAACTGCAAAGCAGTGCCTGCATTTATGGTAGTAGGTCCTAAGCACCTGAGACCCTTAGCACAGTCATTTGCTTAGCAATAGAGGGCGTATTTGGGATGATTCCTTCTCTGTGAAGAAAGTGAGGGAGAAATACATTATCACAGATGAACTAAGGCCCAAAATCACCTAACGTAGCATAACTGCTAGTGCTAACTGCTAAACTGCCTAAGAGGAGAAGATAGTGATTTCAGGCGCTCTCTGCAGCGAGGAAAGCAATTTGGTGTCTTCAGAGGGTGAGTGGGGCCTTTGGGTGCCCTGAACTGTCTTGTAGATATTTCCACTGATGATACAGGACACTTGTGTTAACTGTGTGCATCTAATCTGGGCATGTAAATCGGACAATTGTCCTGAATTCTTTTGGAAGGCAACTCCCTCATTTATGATTTTGTTTTTTTCAACTGTACATCCCAGCTTTCTATATGGACATCATAGAAACAGAGCTTGCTAATAGAGATAGAATTCTATTATTATTATACTGACTTTTTACTTTTTTGGTTTTTCTTATGCAGGAATTCCTCCTCATATTGATACACATTCTGCTTTTGAGGATAAAATAATCTCTCTCAGTTTAGGAGCTGAGGTAATCTTCATGTTTGTATGTGTTTTGATGATGCTTTACTGAGAGGTTTCATTTTTATATTGTTTAATACAAGTTAATTTGATTTTCCATGGTGTCTGTTCACACTCATCTGAGTTTAATATCAAGCATGTAAGGTAATGTGATATGCTAATTAAATAAGTAACTGCAATGAGATGTCACTGGAAGTTTTGCCAGTGATATTAGTGATACTCTATTTTTAAATCTTAGCATCCAGTTCTCCATCGACCTTCCTTCATTTTGTATTCATCTTAGAAAGCGTATCACTCCTGTTTATGTTCCTACTTCCATTTTTCCCTGCGTCATCCCCTGTTCCCTCTGGTCTGCATAAGCCTGCCATTATTTTTATATTCGGTACATCTACAGTAGGCTAATGTAGATGTATTACCTGTAGAAGGTCCAGTCAAAGTCTGAACCCTACTGAGATAGTTGTGGTGCAGGCAGAGATAGACTCTCATCTCAGCAGCATCCAACATATGCAGATGATGTAGAGAAGGAGTGGGAAGGGAAGCGGAAGAACAGTTGACTAGCATGAAGTCATGCAACATATCAAGAGTAGAGCTGAAAACAGTCCATATCATCTAGTCTCAGTGCTCTGATTAGTGTCTTTACTTTTACTCTATTTGGATTCATCTGCTGCATCTGTGCCCATCCATGTTTTACAAATTTAGTGTTACCTTCTCTCCCTTAAGCACTACTGCAGCAAGTCTTGGCTACTTGGCCTTCTCTATTGGGTTTGCGTGGCAAGGTTTTGGTAGCAGGGGCTACAGGGGTGCCTTGTGAGAAGCTGCTAGAAGCTTCCCCCCATGTCTGATAGAGTCAATACCAGCCAGCTCCAAGTTGGACCCACTGCTGGCCAAGGCTGAGCCCATCAGTAACAGTGGTAGTGCCTCTGGGATAACAGATTTAAGAAGGGGAAAAAAAACCCCAACCTGCACAACAGCAACTGCTGCTGGAGAGATGAGTGAGAATATGAGAGAAACAACCCTGCAGACACCCAGGTCAGTGAAGAAGGAGGGGGAGGAGATGCTCCATGCGCTGGAGCAGATTCTCCTGCAGCCTGTGGGGAAGACCATGGTGAGGCAGGCTGTCCCCCCGCAGCCCATGGAGGTCCACAGTGGAGCGGATATCCACCAGCAGCCCATGGAGGACCCCATGCCAGAGCAGGTGGTTGCCTGAAGGAGGCTGTGACCCTGTGGGAAGCCCGTGCTGGAGCAGGCTCCTGGCAGGACCTGTGGCCCTGTGGAGAGAGGAGCCCACACTGGAGCAAGCTTTCTGGCAGGACTTGTGACCCCGCAGGGGACCCACGCTGGAGCAGTGTGCTCCTGAAGGACTGCACACCATGGAAAGGACCCATGCTGGAGCAGTTTGTGAAGAACTGCAGCCTGTGGGAATGACTCATGTTGGAGAAGTTCATGAAGGACTGTACCCTGTGGGAGGGACACCATGCTGGAGCAGGGAAAGAGTGTGAGGAGCCCTCACTCTGAGGAGGAAGGAGCAGCAGAGACCACATGTGATGAACTGACTGCAACCCCCTGTCATGAAATGGAGTGGTTTGGACCACTTAAAGAATCACTTCCAATGGTATTAGTAAAAGAAAAATTATTTAATAAGAATTTATATAAAAGTGCGACTTCACAGAATGCGATGGCAAGGTTCACTCTATTACTTAATACATGGATGAAATGTACACGGGAAAATTAAGTTAGAATCAGACTAAAATTAGGTATACAGAGACCAAAAATGCAATAGGGTAAAAGAGAAATATACAAAGAAAAATGGAGTTAGAATTAATTTCTTGTGATTTTGTACAGAGATCAGGAATGTAAAAACGGAAGGGAGACCCTCCTGTTAAGTCACGAGGTTCAGAGAAGACCCACTTGTTTTCTAAACTCCTGTCAGAGTCTAGGTGCGGCTGGATCAACTCCTAGTCCCAGACTTGGTCAACGGTTTATATCTAAATGGATTATGAGTGTAATAACAGCCTGAGAGTCATTCAGTTGAATAAAGTTCATGACAGTAATTTAAGTATAGATTTGAAAAGTGTTAACTTGTAATATACTTGCTATAGTGTATTCAGGTTAGTACACATACATGCATAAAGGCACTAAGAGATACATAAGCAAGTAAAAGAGGTACACCTATTAAAAATTCCCCTTGAGTTCAGTGAAAATATTCATGTCAAATGCTTTGGCATCCTTCTCAGCAGGTGAAGGGTCAAGCCTCAAGGAGCAAAGAGTATCAGCCCAAGTCTTACTGGCTTTCGGTGACAGACCTCTGGTCTTCACAAACTTAAAAGTTTGCGAGCTCTGAGAGGTGTCTCGCTGAGAAGGAGATGCAGCCTGCTGCAGTCCAGGATAGCTGAAAGGGTCTCACTTAGTACTGCTGTTTTGAATCTTTATTCTGGGCTTTGGCATCGACTTCCTCTTTTCTTACAAGTTGTGTAGTGAATGTGGAGCTCCTGGGACTAGGGGTGAGTCTAAGGAAGGATCACTTTTTCATTAACATGTGTGGCAGTGGCACATGTGTGTTCTTGGTTGCTTGAAAATGGAGTGTCAGTGTTGCCAGTCCTCTCAGCCTGACCATGGATGTATTTGTCCACCATTCACAAAAGCATCCACTCTAGAGAGGAACGTCTGGGATTGGTTGTGAGGGTGGTATGCACAGTGGCAGTAGAGTTCTTACTACTTTTGGAATGTCCCAGTCTAGGGGCTACTTCCTCATGTGGCTTCTGCACTTAGCCTTGTCTTGGAGATCATGTATTCTCTTCTGTTCAACTGCAGTGTTGTCTGTAACAGTGTCAACACCTCCATGCTAGGTAGCACATGGGAACATCCATTTCTCTGATGCAGTTCCTCTAGGAGAAGGGCTCTAATTGATCTTCTGTGCAGTTTATCCATCCGAAGTTTAATTTTTCTAATACATGCTGAGCATTCAGAGCAGCACAGCAACAGCAGATGATCCCAACTTACAGCTCTTCCTATGTTGATCTTGTAAATAAAAAAAAGTTAGTTTACTTTATAAAAACTATATTGGTGCTGTCATTTCACATATTCTGCCTCAGTCTGCAGGCCCAGGCTTTCTTACCCTTTCAGTTTCAATTAAAAGGCTGACTCTGGCACAAATGCTCTGTTACATCATTGATGAGGCACCATAGGCAGTGCATTTCTATATGATTATATTACAGCACACCTTTGTTGTGGTCTTGGAGATGGGCAAAAGCAGAATGATTTTAATCACCTGAGAAGCACAAGCCTTTCTGGGAAGTGGACTGCCTGGAGCATTATGATGCTGTTAAAACTTGGAATGTGTACATTTCAATCAGGGAAACAGCCAGACTTGGGCCATTTGTAGGTATTTCAGGCATAAGCATTGGATACAGTCTGTTAGTTAGCTCCTAAGTTTCAGTGCCTTTTCATAATGGGCCATTAATGGGCTTTTCAGGTGCAGACAATCGAAGCACATGTGTAGTAAAACAGGCCAGTGGCCCATGAAATGCTGCATTATTTAATGGCTTTTCTTTCTGGTACTTTTACAACTTTTAATGATTTCTTTAATGTGTTTTTGTGCACTTAGCTCTTAATCTGATTCTAAAATGTAAGTATCAGTTGCAGTAATATGTGAGTTAGCTATTTTAGGAGTGAAGCCCCCTACTCTATTCCCATTAAAGCTTACCATGTACAAAATTTACATACTCTGATAATAAATAATTGGAGTTGCATATACAGCAGCAAACTTTAGTAATGTATCTTCTTCTCACTATAGCGTGATGTTATGGTTGGTTTTTTTTTCACCTGAACAGATTAGGCTGCAACATAATGGAAAACATACATAAACAAAGTTGTATGTCTTGTCCTCTCTTTATTCTCCTAAACAGTAAATGCATACATTTAAATAAAAAGTGCCATAAAGAAATAACCTTCCAACCCAACTGGTTCTGTATCCTATTTCAGAAGTTGGCTAACCAGACACTTCAGAGGAAGAAAAGAAAGCAGGATACCTCGTATAGTTTGTTCTTACGCTAAGTCATGAAAGAACTTTTATTTTGATTGTCTGTGCGCTTGTTGTGGTTTCACCCCAGCTGGCAACTAAGCACTACACAGCTGCTTGCTCACTCCTTCCTGCCCCCAGTGAGATGGGGGAGAGAATCAGAAGGAAAAAAAAAAAACAAAAGTAAAACTCGTGGACTGAGAGAAAGATAGTTTAATAGGACAGAAAAGAAAGGGAAAATAATAATAATAGAATATACAAAAAAAGTGATGCACAATACAATTGCTCACTGCCCACTGACTGATGCCTAGCCAATCCCTGAGCTGTGGTGGCCCCTGGCCAACTGCCCCCAGTTTATATACTGGGCATGATGTCATATGGTATGTGTCGTGGTTTCAGCCCAGCCGGTAACAAAGGACCACGCGGCCGCTCGCTCACTCCTCCCGCCCCCCTCCGGTGGGATGGGGGGAAGACGGAGGAGAGGAAAAAAAACAAACCTGGAACCTCGAGGGTTGAGATAAAGGCAGTTTACTGGAACAACACAAAGAAATTACAACAACAACAACGCTACTAATGAAAGGGTATACAAAAAGAGTGATGCACAGTGCAACTGCTCACCACCCGGGACCCGACGCTCTGCCACTTCCCCCACCGAAAAGAAGAGCCCACCCCCCGTCCAGCTCCCCATTTATATACTGAGCATGATGTGACATGGTATGGAATAGCTCCTTGGCCAGTTCAGGTCAGCTGCCCCGGCTATGCCCCCCACCTCCCAGGTTCCTGTAAAAAAAAATTAACTCTATCCCAGCTGAACCCAGGACAGTATGGAATATCCCTTTGGCTCAGTTGGGTCAGCTGTGCTTGCTGTGTCCCCTCTCAGCTTCTTGTGCACTCCCAGCCTCTGCTGGCAGGGCAGTTTGAGAAGCTAAGTCCTTGACTGAGTATAAACACTACGTAGCAAGAACTAAAACATCAGTGTGTTATCAACTTTA